ACGCAAAAAGTAACGTATAACAATTTTACGTTACTCGCAATAATAGTCGGGCGTGTGACTGATTATGTCAGCGGTCGGACGTCGTCATGATCACGCGAAAAGTAACCTATAACAAATTCTTATTAACTGCATTAGTACGGCGTTTACCACATGGTTTGGATTTTCAGCAGTTTGACGTCTTCATCGTCACACGAAGAGTAACGTACAAAAAATACACGTTACTMGGTTACTCGCAATAGTTCGGCGTCAACAGCATGGTTTGGATTGTCAGTTGTCCGACGTCATCATTGTCTCGCGAAATGAAACGTATAACAAATTAGGGTTACTCACGATAGTTCGGCGTATACGCGGTGTGTTTTATTATGTCAGTTGTCCGACGTCGTCATCGTCATGCAAAAAGTAATGTAAATCAATTTCGCGTTACTCTCAATAGTTTGGCGTGCGAGGTGTGATTGATGATGTCAGCAGTCCGACCTCGTCATGTTTACATGAAAAGTAACTTATAACAAATTTTCATTATTGGCAATAGTACGGCGTCAAACGCATGGTTTAGATTTTCAGCAGTTCGACGTCTTCGTCGTCACACGAAAAGTAACGTACAACAATTTCGCATTACTCGCAATAGTTCGGCATGCGAGATGTGATTGATTATGTCAGCGGTCGAACGCTGTTATGGTCACTCGATATGTAACCTGCTATAACAAATTGGCGTTACCCACAATAGTTAAGCTTTGCGGTGTGTTTAATTGTGTCAGTGTCAGCGGTTCGACGTCGTCATCGTCACATAAAAATTAATGAACAACAATATTTCGCGTTACTCCAACAGTTCATCGTGCAAGGCGTGATTGATTACATTAGCGGTCCGACGTCGTCGTCGTCACGCGAAAAGTAACGTTCAACAAACCCGCATTACTCACAATAGTTCGGCGTGTGAGGTGTGATCGATTATGTCAGCGGTGTTGTAACGTGTCCGCTTCAGCACTCGAATTTGTATTGGAGGTATAATAAAGATACACAGATTTACATTATCGCATAAARTATTTTTATTAATAACCAACGGCTAATCTCTATATTACAAGTACGTAGTCGTCTCGTCTCTAGWAATCGACTCCCCGACTTACTCTATGACTTTCCTATTTATGCTACGTGGAGTCCTATTGTAATCATGACGTCCGTCTAATCAAAGGTGTATGCTATTTCCAGTTTTCACCTTTGATCTACGCTAACGCTTTCCTATAATCTGGTTATTTCAAAGTCGATGAATGTCAGTGAATATAAATACAWAACTATATCAATTATTTTAAATATTAACAATAATGAGGATCATTACAGCGGTCAGACGCTGTATGGTCACGCTATATGTAACCTACAACAAATTCGTTGTACGTTACCGCAGTTCACGTGGCCATAACAACGTCCGACCGCTGACATAATCAGTCTCGCCTC